TTCAGATGCTGTTTAGGTGGCAAAGTTTTAATATTTATTGATGGCTTTAGGATGTGATGCAGGGATTACAAGGAATAGAATTCCACCTCTCAACGTGTTTTGATTACCTTGCACAATGTCTTGTATCTTATGCTGAACGTAAGTGCCTTTCAATAGACATGCATGCTCCAGTTGCTCTAATCTTCATCCCTCCCTAAGGATTTTCACCAGACCGATACTTTCTCTTCATTTACCTCCCTGGATGCTGAACCATCTAAGTTTATGATCCCTGGTCTATAGTATTATTGTGCCCAAATAACTATTACTGATGTATGTTTTGATTAGAAACTCACTGCACAAGCATGTCATCAAAGAACATTTATGGCTATTGTCATAGTACATGTTTGTTTTATTGGCCTGACAACAATGACTCTTATAATGAGGAAAATGTTGAAAACCCCTCACAGTAAAGAAGTCCCTATGTAAATAATAAAGGGCAAGGTAGTGGCTTTAAGCTTGGCGCTGGTAACATAGGGCAGCTTCCATAATTTGTCTCTCCATGGATTTGTACGCCACGCGTGCGCATCAGGCCAGGAAGAAACGCCTCCCAGCAGAGTGTGGTTTTGGGAGAGGACCCAAGGTAAGACTATAGGAGCTCAAAATCTTATAATTACCAAAGGGCATGAGGTAGGGCAGGGAGCTTTCCAAGATCTTGGTTTGCGTCACAACTCTCTCTACATGAACATGATCCCACCCAGAAAACGCAAATGAAAGAACAAACAGTATTGTTTTCCCCGGTAGCTTATATGGATACCGTTAGCAATAAACACATATTGAAGTCAATGTAGTGGGACTAGCAGGATCGCACAAAAGAAAAACATTTCCAAATGAAAGACACAAAATCAGGGGCATGACTGGTAAAGACCCGGGGAGTAATTACCTGGCGAGTCATTTGGTGTGGCTGGAACACAGGGTACCCAGAAAGGGACTAGGAGGAGATAAGTCCACCAAGAATCTTATCACTGAAAAACCAATTTAAAATGGAAGCACACACTCTCAATGCCCTTCCCAATGTGACCTTCGAGGAGTAATCCATTTGGATTTTCCTATGCTGGTTATTTATAACAGAAACTTCTTAATCACTGTCCTCATCCAACATAGTCTCGTCTTGGTAAATGGTTTAATGTGATAATTATGCTTCAACTCAAAACATCTCTGTTTGGCAGTCAGAGCTGGTTCAGAAGAAGCCTTGGATTAAGAAACAATATGGTAGAAACTCCACATGTCTAAAAAGTAATTTAAATGTAAAGATGAATATATATTTATATAAATATATATAAAGAAAAGCCAGTTAATATAACAAATGGATGGAACTGTCTCTTACCTTTACACTAATCAGTAGAAAATGGGGTTAACCAACATTTATTAGACACAAGAAGAGTCTCATAATGTGTCATCATGTTTAACAAACATATAGTAGCTACCTCTATGAGCTTGATAAGGTATTTGAAACTTTCCGATAATTTTTTTTTTTTTTTTTTTTTTTTTTTTTTGAGACCGAGTTTCGCTCTTGTTACCCAGGCTGGAGTGCAATGGCGCGATCTCGGCTCACCGCAACCTCCGCCTCCTGGGTTCAGGCAATTCTCCTGCCTCAGCCTCCTGAGTAGCTGGGATTACAGGCACGTGCCACCATGCCCAGCTAATTTTTAGTATTTTTAGTAGAGACGGGGTTTCACCATGTTGACCAGGATCGTTTCAATCTCTTAACCTCGTGATCCACCCGCCTTGGCCTCCCAAAGTGCTGGGATTACAGGCTTGAGCCACCGCGCCCGGCCTCCGATAATTTTTTTCTAGACTCAAAATGCCCACAGAGTTGGTGTTACAGCCATTACACAAATTAAGAGAGTGAAGAAGGTTTTCCAGCTGGCTTCCCGATGTCCCCTTCGCACCACTGCCTTCCTCACGCCAACACACATGTCATCTATGCTGCTGCTTTTCAATTCGCCTTCCCTACTAAATTACATTCACTGGCTCACTGTTGTCTACAACATGAAGTCCAAGATATTGTGCATGTTCAAAATCTGTTCTTCCTTCCCTCCCCAACCCCAGAACTTTAACTACCTTGCTGGATTTATCTCACATTGATCTTCATAGATTAGGCACTTAAACCAAAGCTGTTCTATGCACCGCACTTTTCCTGGCGCTTCCTCTGTCCAGACTCCTGCTTAACCCTTCTGCTGCCAAAATGTTTTCTTACTTTTCTTTCTTTCTTTCTTTTTTGAGACGGAGTTTCGCTCTTGTTACCCAGGCTGGAGTGCAATGGCGCGATCTCGGCTCACCGCAACCTCCGCCTCCTGGGTTCAGGCAATTCTCCTGCCTCAGCCTCCTGAGTAGCTGGGATTACAGGCACGCGCCACCATGCCCAGCTAGTTTTTTGTACTTTTAGAAGAGACGGCGTTTCACCATGTTGACCAGGATGGTCTCGATCTCTTGACCTCATGATCCACCCGCCTCGGCCTCCCAAAGTGCTGGGATTACAGGCTTGAGCCACCGCGCCCGGCTTATTTTCTTACTTTTAAAGCCCAATTCAAATTATATCTTCTTTATGAAGTTGTCTCTGGTTTCTAAATGCCTGTAGCACTTTATTAGGAGTCAAAATTAATAGCCAGTATAACGGAAGTCACCTGAGCCTACAGGGAATGCAGACTTCTCAGGCTCTGTCTGCCAAGTGGTGGAGCCTCCCTGACAGCACGATTACGTAACCTTCCTGCTGGAGAAAGAGGACCTGTGATGAAGAGGTTACTGCAGAGGCTCCTGGGTACAGAAAATGGGAAATTGAGACGAAAGGATGAGCTCTCTCCCAGCCTGGCCGCAGCATCTGTGAAGTCTGGACTCTATGGAGAAAGGAGATACTGGGCAAATGCTAATGGAGCAGTTTTCACAAGAGAATCTTTAGCAACACAAGGGTGCAAACGATCTTGAATTTGTATCCCTACGGCAGAGTGTAATGGAAAGATGGAAAGAGAGAGTGAGACCCTTTTCCTTGCTTACCACGAAACACCACTCAGCTGGGCATCTCATATGCTCCAAGACCCCAGCCGCAGTAGGAGCCTGCAGAGCCCAAACGAGCTGCAGGGAACCATGTGGGAATGGACTTGCTTGTGAGCTTATATGAATTCACAGAATCTGGGCCAGGTGTGGTGGTATGTAACTGTAGTCCCAGCTACTTCGGAGGCTCTCGCAGGAGGATTGCTTGAGCTCAGGAGCTCAATGCCAGCTTGAACAATATAGTGAGACCTCATCTCTTTAAAAAAAATGTCCTAGAATTTTGGGAAATCCCCCAGAAATATCTAAAGGACACTGTAGGTGGCCAAGACCCTGTGAAAATATCCTGGGGAAAAAGCCTGTAGAATTTGGATTATTACTATTGATTATATTTTATTTATGTACATGGACAGGTGAGTACTAGAAAGACTTGGGTTAATGCTGGCATTCATTTATGACTTGATATGGTTCAAAACTTATCTCCATTATGTATCTGATTTGATCACCATAACAACCATTCGAGGTGGCTATGATTATGTCCAGATTTTCCCCCATAGCAATGGATTTGAGCATACTGTTTATTGTGGAAAGAGTCCAGGACTTGTCAGCAGTCCTAAATTTGAGCCTTTACTCTTCTGCATATGGCTGGGTGACCCTGGATAAATCCCAACCTCTCTGAGCTTTAATTCCTTACCGATAGGACAGGAATAACAATTCCTTTTGTACAGAGATGCTGTGAAATTCTGAGATGATGAAAAAATCCTGTACGATTGTAAGACATTATTATGGCGCATGACTTTACACCATTGCGTTCCTCTTCTACCATAAATCAGTTTTTTCTATACATCTCAATAAAATAAATATAATGAACAGAGAAAACATGCCTTAGTCATCTCTGTGTCTTATCTCTGCAAGAAAAGCACAGAGTAGGTACTCAGTATGATGGTATGAAATGCTGCAGGGGGGTAAGCTTCCCATCTATAGGATAAGCCTGGTATAGAGGAGGTGAACTTCAGAATGCCTGGAACTAGATGTCAATCCTGAAAGCCTAAGATTATTTATTAGATTAACCAGGTATATAAGAGATTCAGATATAAGAGGTCAAATCAGTTTCCCAGGAACATAATACATGTTTAAGAGAGACAGAACATTACCTTTAAAGGACAGCAGGGGCTGGCAAGTGTTTTCTGTAAAGGGTCAGATAGTAAACATTTTAGGCAACGTAGGTCAGATGGTCTCTGTGGCAATTACACAACGTTGCCGTTTTATTGTGAAAGCAGCCACAGATAGTATGTAAGCAAATGGGAGTGACCGTATTCCAATATATTATATTTTAAAAAACAAACAGATGGTGGGCTGCATTTGGCCCATAGGCCCTGGCTGGCCAACTCCTGAGACAGAGGCTTGTCCTTTTGCCAAGGAGGATTTACAACACAAAAAGCCGAAAGTAAAACCAGGTGGTGGCATGAAATGGAAAAGCTGAAATCAGTGAGTAAAAGTAAAGCTCTCGACTAAGTTTCAGAAACCAAAAGTGAACAAGTTTGTCATTGGAGAGAGAAGAGGTTTCACATAAAATGTCTGCCGAACTGGATCAGGGCAAATTTTATTCTGTAAGTTTGAAAGGAAGAAAATACTATGTTGGTGTTTGCTTTAGTTTTGGAGGGTTTTGTTGCCTAGGGGACAAACAGTGCCACGTAGCTGCTTGGACAATCGAAGGTGCCCTAAGTCCCATGAATGAAAGCAGAGCATCCAGGACAAACAAGGTGATCATCCCAGGGGGACGGGGCTGTGTCTGAGTCACCACAGGACCCCTTGCTCCTACCACACGGCCTGACACGCAGCAGATGCCCGCTGGGAACTCATACTTCCCATGCTCTGCTCTGGCCAGAACAGTTTCATACTCGAGGGTCTCTGTTCCCTGGAAAAAAACGGGGTTTGTTTGCCTGGCAAGTAACAAACGACTCTTGACGAGAACATGGGTTTTGATCAATAGAAGTTTTTTTACTTGTCACAAGCAAGGAGAGCACTGAGAATATTCTCCAAAGTGGTGTCTCTGAAAGAAAGTGACAGGAGGGTTTTACGGGGTGATGGACAGGGGAGAGAGTGCATATAGGGGAGGGGTCCGAGTGGCGCAGCTGCAGAGAGTTGTCATGCCACCACACAGCTCACACGTTCCGGTCATGAAGCTATAGTTCCTCCCGGGGTAGTTACTTCAACCTGGTAATGAGGAAAGTTCACTCGAGTTCATCTAGAAGTTGCCGGGGGTCTGTCAGGAGCTGGTTCCAGCTGACGAGGTCACCGCATTCCACGTGGGACTTGGGAAGAAACAGGCAGCAGGGCAGGAAGCTGCAAAACAGGCTGATTGCTCAAGTTGGTTAAATGTCTACTGTCCCAGGAGACCCTCCCTGTCTGCCCCTCTGTGCTAGATTCAAAGGGGAAGAGGTATTTGAGCTAAGAGCTGAAGGAGGTGTCCAGGTGAGGAGAGAGGAGGGCTGTGGCAGGATCCATCCAAGATTCTCTGCCCAGCTTCGCTTCTGCTTTCTCTCCCTTTGAATTAAAATACAGGTTTCTAAAAAATAGGGGCAAGGGGTCATTACACTTTCTAAGAAGTCTTCATTTCAGCTTTGTTGCTTGGAAAAATATGCTCCCTTACCTGGGTGACAAGAAACAAACGTGTTGACATGTTGAGGAAGAATTTCCAGTATTTTAAATCAGGCTGTGAAGGGACCGGAGTTTAAGGAACCTGCAGGTCCATGGTAGGAGTGCTCGTAGCCACCAATAATCCCCTTGTGAAGGAACTAATTAGGTTTGGAAAGGACTTGTGTGCCTGATCAAATAATTAAAACTAAATTGCTCTCCTTGGACATGCAAATTAACGAGCGTTAAAGCAACTCGGTTGGTCACATAGATAATAAACAGATGTGCTTTCTCAAGTCTGTTAGGTGGCACTGATAGATTTCCAATTCTGGCTACAACAGGGCCTGAGCAGCTTTTGAAACAAAGATGAGGGGACTGCAGGCCCAGTGGGGACAGCTGTTGAAAGCTTTAACCCATTGCACCCCACTCTTACAACCCACCCCCACCTCCTGCTTTTTGAGACTGAGAATAAGAGACGCTGGGGAACCAGACTTGACTTACTGCTGGCCCTCGAGCTCAGCCCTGCAGAAGTATGGGGGAACCATGGCACTGTGAACCCGCTCCTCCAGACACCACCTTCCCTACTTCCCAGTGCTATCAGGTCAAAGAAAATGAGGCACTGGCTGCGCACCAGGAGCCAGATGGACCTTCTGGTGGGGTATGGAGGCGTGGGAGAAAACAGGTACAGGAGGCTTTGGGGGGCTGACTGGAGCACTGTGCCATGAGTTTTTTAAAAGTGTTTGCTTAGCAATTACTTGATAAAAAAGTCTTATTGAATAATAAACAAACAAACAAAAAACCCAGACTCAGGTTACAAGTGTTTTATCATTTTGTCAAGGAACCTGTGTTAGCGAAGCACTTGTCACGCAGAGCTCACTCTCGAGCGGGCCTTTGTAGGTAGGCTGGGAGAAGAAAATTGGATTTCTGCCTGGAAGGAAGTTATAGTCTTCTTGGGGAGGCAAATTTTAGGTAAACAAAGAGCATGTTCCGAAATCCTTTTGCCTCGCTGACCTCAGGCCCTTTCCTACGCCTCTCATCTGGAGGAAAATGATGACCTAGAGTCAGTATGACTAGTGACGAAAGAGAGGAGAGAGCAGCCCCACCAGGGCATTGCCGCGGCCCTCCAGAGTCGGTGTGAGGGAGCAGCCCAGGGACCTGAACCTTCAAGAGATGTAGGGTAATGATGCTAGCTAGTTCCGAGGGGGATGCAAGAACTGGATGAGGTAAGACGCAAAGGAACACTTGCCCGGAACCAGTAAGAACTCAGGGAATGCTCCCTCTGATTCCTAACCGCAGACATCGTTAAGGACCGAACCAGGATTCATTCACACCCTGGTCAGCCCAATTCAAAACCCCCCACCTTTCCTTCCCGGCTGCAGGTGCCTCTCGGGATTCAGTTGCCTTCATCTTCTTCCTCGTCTTCCCTCCTGTTTGTGGTCACACCTCCAGCCTCCTTCAAGTCCACCCAGAGAGCCTTTTCTTTCCGTGTGTTGGAACGCAGCGTTGACAACTGCCTGGCCTTCCAGTATAAGCAGAGGAGGGAGATGAGCAGAAGCAGGAGCAGGACCAAGGGGCAGATGAACAGGAAATAGAGTAAAGGGGCTGAGGAGCAGATCCTGGAAGGAAGCGTGGGCTCTGCAATGAAGGGAGAAACAGAGTAATTCATCTCCGACTTATTTGTACTAATCAATTACAAACACTCCTGGGATTCATTGTTACAGGCAAGTATATGTGAAAATAATGGGGCCAAATAGCAGTGGGCCCCTGAAATCACGAGAAGCACAGGGCAGAGCGCTGCGGGAAGAGAGCTCCCGGAACCCTCGCTTCTAACGCGACGCCGTCTTGCCCGGCAATTTCCAACCACTGGAGGTTCCAATGACCTACTTAAAACTCACAGCCAAAATGAAAAACAAAACAAAAAAGAAAACCTCGCCTTTAATCTTCTTTCCTCAGAAAAGATATCTATAATTCAGCCCTCGTTCTCAACTGTGTTGCCAGGCCTGAATTTTTAACTGAGTTATTCCCACTGCTGCTTCTCCAACACACAGGCACACGCACACGCACACACACGCACACACACATGCACACGCACTCTCTCTCTCTCTCTCTCTTTCTCTCTCTGCACTGTCCTTATAAAACAATTGCACCCACAATGAGGCAGCGCCCCTTCCCCATCCACCCAAGCCTGGCCATCTACACGCGTCTCCCCCTTCCCCGGCCCCCTCCCCCGGCCCCCTCCCTCCCGCTCCTTTCCTGCGTTGCCTGGGCTGTGGCCACCACCCGACATGCTCCCTGCATTTGAGCTTCTGGGTCCTTCCGGCCTAGCTCCACCACGCTTCCTACTCTCTCAGCTCTTCCTACCTTGCCCCCCGCACAGTTCTTCTCTTCCATCCCCTCTGAGCTCGGCCCTCTGTTTACACCTCTTTAATTCCGTGTTACCCGTCTCCTTTGTTCATTACGGTTCCTTGAATCTGTCTGCTAGCGCCGTTTGTTTCTGCATCCCCTACAGTGCCTAGCACACGTGCTCAGTAACTTTTGCTGATCTGAATTAAATTGGACTGACTGCAACCACGTGGGCAAAGGATACTACATAAAGGCATGCTGAAGCATATGATCATCCCGCAGCTACAGTCCACCGGGAAGCACTATCAGCAGACACGCACACAGAGCACACACAAGCAGTCCCGGAGGGGTGCCTGGCCACACCGCCAGTGAAGCAAAGGCCCAGACGACGGCAAACACCACAGGTTTCAGGACACAGTCTATCGAGGCAGAAAGACACATGCTTAAAGAGGCCAATTACTAAATGTAATCTTCCAATTACATTTATTTATGACATGATATCTGAAATCAGGGCTGTTCTGAAATATTCAATGCTAACAGTAGCTGTCCTTTTACTGGGAAATTGCTATGACATAAGCAATTTCTTCTTCAAAGGTTAAGCTATAGGAGGCATGGGATTATGGATGTTTAGAGATGAAAAGAGGTTTAGAGGTCATTTTGACCAACCTCCTGCTGCAAGAATTCCATTTTTGGCATTGTCGATGAATTTTACATGTTAAAGAACATCTCTTTGATGGAAGTCAAGAAAGAATCTAGACATTCGCTCACCTCCTGCACTGTGAGCTCCTTGAGGGTGGGGTCTGTGTCTCGTGTGTCTTTTTATCTGTCTCAACTGTTTGCTCACAGGGTGTCAATGGAGCCTGATGAATGAATCAATTGCATGAGTACCTTCCACACATGGGAACCCAGGGCTGGCTGCCATGATGCTACACAAAGTACAAATCATCAATGAACACGAGGCTGGCAGCTCTGAATGGGGCTGGCAAAGAGCTGCAGGGGTTCATGGCCTGGATTTGCTCTGATCGCATTTGTAGCCTTCCTCCTAAATTTGGTTTTGGCTTTTGAAAGGGTGAGCAATGATAAAGTTAGGTTTTGAATTCTTCACCATCCCTGCACCACTCCACATCCTATCTGACCCCTCTTCCAATGGCCCTGCTTGACCGCAGCTTTTCTTCCCAGGTCTTATCTGAGTACATTTTGAAGGCCCGTGGCTGGAAGGAAGCATAGACTTCAATGATGCCAGTGAATGGAGCCATGGAGTCCAGGTATTAAGAGCACTGGCCGTGGACATTTGTGCAGAGTAGTGAATGACTACCTACTGTGTGTCAAAAAGAGCCGAGTTCAAATCCTCAATCTTCAATGTGCCATTATTAACAGTGGAGAAGTTACTTATCCTCTCTCTAACCATTAGTTTCCTCATCAACCAAATAGGGATAACAATTTCTAAAGTTGGGATGGGATCATGTATAATAAAGCATCTAATGAAGTGCCTAAAGCATTTGTGGAATCAGCAAGCAATAAATATTAGCGAGGATGCTACTGAGAAAGCTAACAAAATCACAGGAAAACTTCTCCCAAGAGAACAAACCGGAGCGTACAGACCCTTGCTCCCAAGAGAGCAAGGCCAGAGCCTATAGACCCCTCGCACAGGGACCACAGGCTTCGCCATCTTCCTCCACAGACTAAATCTCTCCCTTAGATCTTTGGTCCTTCTGTCCTTAGACCTTGCTGACATCCAGCAGAGACTGAAATGATTACTTAGGAGGCTCTGGCTTCCTTTTCTAGTCATGGGAGGCCGATAATTGAGTCCGGAGCCCCAGGTATTATAGTAGCTAGAATAGCGGGGTGATGACGTCACACAGGAGGTGGAAAGAAATCTGCTACTTGGCTTTTCAGCATAAAGGGGCAGCCAGAGGGCTTGGCTATCTTAGTGGGGAGGAGGCCGCTCAGCTTAGCACAGTCTGCCATCAAAGGATGGCAAGGTGTGCTCCTCACCATGCTGACATGGCCAGCAGTTAGCAACTGTCAGCTCCTGGGCTGCTAAATCACCTCTCCTGGGAGGGCAGTGTTTGCTCTGGATCCCACAGTCACCATTTCCCACCATCTGCCTCTCAGCCGTATCTGGATTAGAATTAGTGACATTCAAACCATTAAGGTTTGGCATTCTGGATCCATCTGAGAAAGTGCCCAGCGCTCAAAGTACAAGGCCTTCAAAACAAAGCCCAAAATGTAATGAGAGCACTTCATCATGAGGCTTAGTTTAGAACATGTTTCCACCCACAGCCAAGCACAGCAAAAGGAGCACTCCTTTTTCATACTTCCTCAGAGACACTGATTTCAGAAGAAAAGAGGTGTGAGATGAAGAGGGGGCTGCCAACTCTTCCCCACTACCCAACCCCAAACATGCAGCCACGTGGGAGGGTGGTCCCTTGCCACGAAACAAAAGTAGGGTAAGGTAACCTGGTAACAAGTGCATCCCAGAATAAGTGAGTCACTGACAGCATCCTGTTCCAACCCAGCTGAAGACCTGCCTGCTCATCCTTTCCCCAAGCATTTGTTGAATGCCAGGTGCCAGGCCTTGCTGGAGGCACTGGGAAGCACAGGGTGGTATCCTGGCCTCTCCAGAAACTTCAGTGTGATAGAGACACTTTGCTCCTTCAAGGATCTACTTCCTTTCCTTCCCTTCTTTTCTTTTCTCTTGTTTCTTTCTTTCTCTTTTTCTTTTTCCTTCTTTCTTTTTCTTTCTTTCTTCCTTCCTTCCTTCTTCCCTTCCTTCCCTCTTTCTCTTTTTCCTTCCTTCCTTCTTTCTCTTTCTTTCCTTCTTTTTGTCTCTTTATCTTTCTTTTTCTTTTTTTCTTCCTTCCTCCCTTCTTTCTCTTTTTCCTTCCTTCCTTCTTTCTTTCTTTCCTTCTTTCTATCTTTCTTTCTCTTTCTTTCTTTCTTCTCTTCTTTCTTCCCTCCTTCCCTTTTTTCCTTCTTTCTCTTTTTTCTTCCTTCCTTCCTTCTTTCTCTCTTTCTCTCTCTCCCTTTCTTTCTTTCTTTCCTTCTTTCTGTCTTTCTCTTTCTCTCTCTCTCTCTCTCTCTCTCTCTCTCTCTCTCTCTTTCTTTCTTCTTTCTGGTTTTCTCCGCTCTAAAGCATAAATGTGTACCATCTTCAAACCAAAACAGAAAATAAGCAGAACTGAAACCCTCTCACTGACACCTCTTTCCATTTTATTGTATTCTCTCTTCCCCTTGACATCAAAGCTCTTGCAAGGGTCATCTGCACTTGATGTGCCCATTCTTCCCTCCTCAACTTGCTGCAGTCTGACCTCCCTGATGACTTTTCTGTAATTGTCTCATAATGGCAAATCCAATGGATACTTTGCCACTGTTATCTATTTGACCTCTTTGTAAGAGCCAAGTCTGTCAATTTGCCTCGCCTTCCTGATACCCTCTCTGCCTTTAGTGTCGGTGGTACCACCAAATCCTGATTCTCCTCCCAGCTCTCCGTCGCCCCTATCAGCCTCCTTCACAGGCTCCCCACTGCTGAAAAACAGCAGCTCTGCCCGTGGCACCATGATTGGCTACAAATGGATCACTTCTAATCTACAACTCTAGCGCAGATCCCATTGATGTCTATTGGACGGATCTTTATCAATAACTAACAGGTACTCTAAACTAAATTCCAGCCCAACTTATTTAAAATTCAACTAATCTTCCCCTCCAAACCCCTCTCATGTATTACCTGGCTTGGTAAATGGCCCCACTATCCATCTAAGCCGGAATCCAAATGTTAATCCTTGATTCTCTCCTTCTGCTCATTTGCCCTCTATATACGTTGAATCAGCCTCTAAACCCTGAAGTTTACACCTCCTAATACCTAACGCCTGTTCTTTTCTTAGTCATCCTGGACACTGCCTTATCTCAGGCCTTTACGTTTTCCCAGCTGGGTTCTCACAATTTCATAATACTTGCCCCTACACTGTTGGCCTTCCCTCCAATTCTTTTTTTTTCTTTTTGAGACTAAGTTTTGCTCTTGTTGTTCAGGCTGGAGTGCAATAGCATGATCTCTGCTCACTGCAACTTCCGGTTCCTGAGTAGCTGGGATTACAGGCATGCACCACCATGCCCGGCTTTGCGTTTTTAGTAGAGACTGGGGTTTCTCCATGTTGGTCAGGCTGGTCCTGAACTCCTGACCTCAGGTGATCCGCCCACCTCGGCCTCCCAAAGTGCTGGGATTACAGGCGTGAGCCACTGCGACTGGGCTCCAATTCATTTTAATGTGGGAACTTTCTAAAAGGAAAATCTAACCATGCCACTCCCCTGCTTAAACTTTTTCAGTGATACTCCGTCACTGTCATGGTAAAGTCCTTCCTTCTTAGCTTCGGATTCTAGACACATTTGCGGTCTGTCTGTACCTTCCCCACCTCACTGGTCTCATCTCTTGCCATTGCACCATAGAGGCTGCAGCTTCTGCCATTCTCAATGACCAGGAGTGCCCCCAATATAACATGAAATTTTACATCTTATTATCATCTTGAATACTCTTTCATGTTTCTAAAACATGTTTCTTCCTTTTCATGAGCCCCATTGCCTGGAGAATCTTCCAGATCTCCTCCCTACCTTCCCCTTCACCACAGCCCTGCCTCTGTTGTTGCCAGTCTACCGGAAATACTTCTTTGAAAACACCTATGATGTTGAACTGTGGAGCGGAGTTCAAAAGCGGAGAAATCACTCTGACTGGACTCTAAGCTCGTGCGAACAGACTCCGTCATACACACTTTTGTGCCTTCAGGACCTCATATGGTTATTTATTAAACAATGCCATTATTTTGTCACATAGATGTATACGTGTAGGTATGTGTATACCTGTGTGTACATGTATGTGTGGCGTGTTTGGAAGCATAAGGGGGAAAGGAGATAACATTTGCTGAGCACTGACAATGTGCCAGGCACTATACGGGATACTTTATACACATTTATATTATGAGCTTCATTTTATAGAAAGCTGAGGCTCACAGCAAGTAACCAGAGTATGACTTCATAGCTGGTATTGGTGGTAGAGCTGTGATTTGAGCCTAGGCTTGTCTGATTCCAGCCCTTGGGCTATTTTTTTTTTTTATCACCCCACACTGCCTCCCTGACTACCATGAAGGAACAGCCAAGTAGAGGAGCCCAGATGCTACATTACAGGGATTTCGATCCTCAACATTCGTTACACCGAAACCCCTCAGTTTGTCATGACAAATGCTTTCTGAAGAATACAAAGGCCACTCAATTTTTAATGTTTTCTTTCCAGGTTTATCTTTTAAAAGCCATATTCCTGTTTTACAGGGATCTCACGGAGGTTAACAATATGTATGCCATGAAGGATCCCATCTGCCTCAGAGGAGAATACACTTTTCATCACAGACTACATACTTTGTACAGTTCTTATCTATGTATTCTATTGCAAAAACTGCCGATTCTACAGAGCCTGTGAATTCCAGAGGGAAAACATAAATGGAATGTGCTCATGAGTACCGGAGTTCCTATAATTGTTGGGGGAAAAAAAAGGGCTGATCGAAAAATCATTTCTGCCTGGCACTCAGGAGAAAGATTCTGCTGAGGAGTGGACAAAGAACACGATGACGGACCACCTCAAGAAATGAATCAGAGAGCTTCAACTTCCCTCTAGAAGCCCTGCTGGGCTGGAGTGCCACTATCCCTAGTTCTTAGATGTTCCCATATGTTCTCAACAGCATTATGTCCCTCCTAAGGAGCGTCACTAAAGCTAGCTGGTGTCTTAGGATTGTTACTTAATTGATGATTTTCCCTTTACGTTTCCTGGTGGCCAGCGCCAAGACCACACCCCTACTTCTCCAATGACCCTTTCCCTCAGTAAGCTTAGCTTATTGCTCATCTGTCACCTTCTCCCTGAACCCCAGCAGAAAGACATGGGTGAGAGAATGGGCTGCCTATGACATCTGCCAGCTGGCTGACCATCAGGGAAGGTTGACTGGTCTAGCTGGAGAAATGTTTGTTTTTATGAACGAGTAGTCCATGAGTGCTCAGCTGAGGAGGGTGAGCTTCCCTTGGAAAGATCACCCTTTGGCCAACAGTCTCGGAGTAGCTGCCCTTCTTGCTGGAGCCTAGAAACACACTTTATGGGGCACCTTTCCTCCCTGGATGCCTTTCAAGGCACAGTTAGACAAGGCACAGTGAATGACCACCATTGTCAAAGTTCTGGTAGTTTGTCGAAAGACAAGGAGTTCTTGGCATTGATAGGAGGTTGGCACTTCTTCATTGAAAAGGGGTCCTTTTTGTTTGTTTAGTTCGGTTTGTTTGTTTGTTTGTTGTTTGTTTTTGATTCGAGAAGCATTTAGAGGTAGCTGATTTTGGTTCAATCAGGTCTCCTATCCCTCGTTCTCCCTTCTACTGTTGATCAGCAATCTAAGATTAGAGGGTCAGCCCAAGGGTGAGGATGTCTGTTTCACATATTATTTGGTTACTTAAAGGGACATATGTTGATGGCTTTTTTGTTCAGGAGGAGAAGGAGAGAACAGGTCAGACGCTCCTGATATTTAAGTGTCTATGCCAAAACTTTGTGTGGACCTTGTTTGTTCAAATGAACTACTATTGAGAGAGACAGCAAAGTCACCTCCTTTAGGGAACCTGAACGTTGTCTTCAGCCTGCAGAAGGAGCAAAACATAGCTGAGAGGGAGAGCGTCAGAGGAGAGCCATATATTTTCCTGACCGAGAGCTCGCGATAGATAAACCCCTGGTTACCTGAAGGCAGCACCATGAGCACCGTCTGCTGTGACTCATCAGATGCTTGGTTAACCCACTTGCTTGGGTGTCCATGGAGCTGCCACTCTGCCACCCTACACCAGTACGTTCCTGCATCCTCCATCGCCACCTGCTGAAGCTCCAGGACAAAGTCTGTAGGGGAGGAACGGTAGCAGTGCAGATGCCTCCTGAGCCCCTCTTCCCCATACTCCAGCAAGCCATCATGCTGCAAGTGCACCAGCATTTTACTTCCAGCGTTCTCTCTGTTCCAGTACCACATCACAGAGTACAGAGCAGCCAAGCTGCCCGTGCTCTCCAGGCTGCAGTGGATGGCCGCCGCGCCGTGCTCGGTCACATTTTTGGTCCAGTGCACTTTGGAGACACGTACCTTACTTCCTAGAAAATAAAATGGCAGTCAGTTAGAGAACACAGACTTTCAGATTGGATACCTCCTCTGAAAAAGTCTAGTTCTCACTGGGAAGATTTTATATTCTTTAGACATTAGTGCATTCATTTTATTTTACTATTTATTTTTATTTTTATTATTTATTTATTTATTTATTTATTTATTTATTTATTTTTGAGACGGAGTTTCGCTCTTGTTACCCAGGCTGGAGTGCAATGGCACGATCTTGGCTCACCGCAACCTCCGCCTCCTGGGTTCAGGCAATTCTCCTGCCTCAACCTCCTGAGTGGCTGGGATTACAGGCATGCGCCATCCATGCCCAGCTAATATTTTGTATTTCAGCCGGGCGCGGTGGCTCAAGCCTGTAATCCCAGCACTTTGGGAGGCCGAGGCGGGTGGATCACGAGGTCAAGAGATCGAGACCATCCTGGCCAACAAGGTGAAACCCCGTATCTACTAAAAATACAAAAAATTAGCTGGGCATGGTTGTGCATGCCTGTAATCCCAGCTACTCAGGAGGCTGAGACAGGAGAATTGCCTGAACCCAGGAGGCGGAGGTTGCAGTGAGCCGAGATGGCGCCATTGCACTCCAGCCTGGGTAACAAGAGTGAAGGAGCGAAACTCGGTCTCAAAAAAAAAAAAAAATTTGAATTTTTAGTAGAGACAGGGTTTCGCCATGTTGACCAGGATGGTCTCGATCTCTTGACCTTGTGATCCACCCGCCTCGGCCTCCCAAAGTGCTGGGATTACAGGCTTGAGCCACCGCGCCCGGCCTATTTTTATTTTTTGAGACAGTCATGCTCTGTCACCCAGGCTGGAGTACAATGGCACAATTTCGGCTCACTGCAACCTCTGACTCCTGGGTTCAAGCAATTCTCCTGCCTCAGCATCCCAAGTAGCTGGAATTACAGGCATGTGCCACCATGGCCAGCTGATTTTTGTATTTTTAGTAGAGTCAGGGTTTCACCATGTTGGCCAGGCTGGTCTTGAACCCCTGGCTTCAAGTGACCTGCCCACCTCAGCCTCCCAAAGCATTGGGATTACAGGCGTGAGCCACCACGCCTGGCCACATTCATTTTAATTCTTGTCCTTGGTCCCTGTTCTTCTCTCACATTTGCCAGGACATTCTCTACTAGGAATCAAACCAGGCTCTTTCCTTCTTCAGCCCTTTTTTAACCGCTTGCCTGCTGGACCCTGCCACTGAAAACCATGAAGCTTCTGCGGGGGCCCTCTGCCTGCTGTTTTTACTTATCCTTGATTCACTCCTCCTCTACTTCCCAAAGCAGTCATCACAACTTTTAGCAGCTCGCTCCAGCCATGTATTCCACCAGTACTCCTCATTCTTAGCAAATTACTCTCCTCCCATACACCCAGATATTATCTTGGGTGTAGACACAGAGAGAGAGGAAGCCATCTGAGAGACTGAAGATTTTGATGCAAGTGTTAGAAAACCATCCAAGGGAACTATTTAAGTGATTGCATTAGACTAATTTTAAACAGATTTTGACATTTACTTTTTTTCTCCTTGCTAACCAGCAGGTGAGGATTTAGAATGACCGCCAGAGTAGTTACAAACAAAATAAAGAAATTATAACATGCATTACACTTTCAATTCCACTATAAACATATTTATTTATTTACTTTGAGATGGAGTCTCACTCAGCCACCCAGGCTGAAGTGCAATGGCACAATCTTGTCCCACCTCAACCTCTGTCTCCCAGGTTCATGTGATTCTCCTGCCTCAGCCTCCTGAGTAGCTGGGATTATAGGCATGGACCATCACGCTTGGCTATTTTTTGTATTTTTAGTAGAGATGGAGCTTCACCATGTTGGCCAGGCTGGTCTTGAACTCCCGACCTCAGCTGATCCACCCGCCTTGGCCTCCCAAAGGGCTGGGATTATAGGCATGAGCCACTGCGCCTGGCCCAAACACATTTATCAATCTGTCTTTAAGATAATAATTCTGTCTGATCTTGGACTCTTTTTTAGTTACCCTCTTTACTCTCTCCTTTCCTTCACGGAGAAGCACGTGGAATATTAGCTTATGTGAGACTGTTGCTATTTCCTTGCCTCAAATTACTTTCTACTTTATTGTGATCTGGCTTCCAATCCCATCACTATACTCGGCCAGGGCCCAATTTTCCAGTTCAAGGGACCCTCTAGTCCTTTTCTGTCCTGTATGTGGTTTTGTCAGTGGAGTCCATTTTCTTCTAACCTCAGAGAAAATATCCCTTTTACAAGAAATTAGTTGTGGACATTCTCAAACTAGGAAATGTCATCAAAGAAGAGTTCAGGCAACTCTAGATATGCAAAAGGATCTGACAGCATGGAACCCACATTTCTTTTTTTTTTTTGAGACGGAGTTTCGCTCTTGTTACCCAGGCTGGAGTGCAATGGCGCGATCTTGGCTCACCGCAACCTCCGCCTCCTGGGAACCCACATTTCTACCTGGGAAGCACGTGATCTAGGCAGTGGCTGCCTCCCGAAGAGGGGCAGGCACATGCGGTCAAGAGTTTGGCGTGGATGACTGGGAGACAGAGTGCCAATCACACAGATGGGAAATGCAGAAGTGCAAACGAGCATGGTGAGATGGCAGAGACACTAAGTGCCATTTAGGGCATGCTGAGTATGGCGGCATCCAAGTAGAAACGTGGAGCAGGCAGTTGGGTATGAAGGCTTGGAGCTCAGGAGATCCGGGCTAAGCACAAAATCTCAGAGTTATCATCTAGAAGGTGGTAGTTGAAACCAGGGCAGTGTTTAAGCAATTCTGAGAAAAGCAGAGAATTAAGAAGCAATACAGGCCCAGGATCATCCCTGAGGAGCACACACATTTAGCAGGAAGAAGAAGGGGCTGGAAGAACATAGAGAAGGAAAGCCAGAGTGCAGGAAGAGACCCCGTTCCAAATGGCTATTTTGCCCTCATTGTCCCAGCAGACAGGGAGCTCCCGAAGGGCCAGGCCTGTGCCTTCTTTATCCTTGCACTCCATTGCCTAATACTTCGTAATGCTTAATTATCATCTCATTTGTTTACGTTACCTTGAAAATAGTATTGTAAGCACCAAATTAGATCAACTTATCTGCCTTGTGCTGCTGGATCTTATCCAGTTCCCGAACCTGGGCTGTGACGTTCATTTGATTTTAATCAACACTGGAGGTGACCTAACCAATGCTGAGAGACCTAATCAACCCTGCCCACATTTAGACAGCAGCACTCTTAGACCAGTGTGGAACTTCCATTACATTTTTAAAGATCTCCTGAGGAAGAGGAGACTCCCTCAGTAAGCCATTCCAACAGTTAACTACTCTTATTTGCCTTATGTTTAGGCAGCTAAATGTTGAGAAGCAATTTCTCCACACATCCCCATAGAGTTGTGCAGTTTCTGTTCACAGTGGGAGAAATATGCTTCGTATTACTCTTTCTTTGCCAAATTACAGTAGAGCCCCACTGGAATGACACAGCTTGTTATTACAGAGATCTGGAGATACGACACCCTGGGTAGCTGCATGGACCAGGCTGCCAGGCTGAGAAGCAAACCAGTCAAAGGATTTTGCTCCTATCCGAGCTCCCCAAAAACCTCAGATTAAATCACCTTAAGTGACCTCCCTTCCTCTGTTGGACTACCCGGTCCTGCAGTCATTTGTAGGGGGACCCACTGTTCCTATGATTTTAGGTCATATTTTTACTTCCATATAATCAATCACTCCATAGAACAGCTGCGCGAGAGAAAACAGCCACCAGACAGAAAGACATTGTGAGGACACACTCACAAGGTTTACCTGTGGGCTTGAGTTTCAATTCTGTTAGTCCTGACTTCTTTTCCCCCAGCTTGTGCCAAGTGCCATTTGTAGACAGGAGCCACTCCTCCACAGCACAGTGGTATCTGCCCTGATCACTATCTTCCACATTCAGAATGTGCAGCTGAAATAAGTCTTGGGAAACCTTCTCAGTATGAAATTTTTGTTTTCTTCGTGGGGTGTGAAATGCATCCCCCGTCTTTATAACATTGGTTTGGTCCATCTCCAGGATCTTTAGCCAGGAGGCATTAGTGGAAATAGGAGAAAAATACCAAATGATGGCTAACTGAAGGTTTCCGCTGGACCGGGACAAGATGCTACATTCTATATCGGTATTGGAGTTGATGGCGAGCTCTTGGACTTGACTCCTTGAATTCACTTTTAGCTTGCTCTCTAAATTTAAAAAATGAAAACGGTTACTTTGCTAGGAAATACAAAGGTAAGGTAGTAGAGATGTTAGAGGTAAAGTATGACGTTGCTTCCTCCTGCCATGATATGAGTGAACTCCCTCTACAGTCACCTGCTCACTGCTCATTCAGCTTTTGAACAACATCGCTAGCTAGCAAGGCAGCCCATTCCACCCCGTAGTGCGACATGCAAGGTCCTTTATCATCTGATACATTCGTGTCTTTCCAGCATCTTCTCCTTCAACTTTCCATCTTGAATTTGAGCTTCAGCCACACTGAATTACTTGCAGCTCCTCAAGAGTCCATGTTCTCTCTCACTTTCAAAGCCTTGAGTTGCATCTCAAGTTGCATACAAGATCGGCGTATTCCACATTTAGAACATGCAGCTGAAATAAGTCTTGGGAAACGTTCTCAGTGTGAATTTTTTGGATGCTTTGTTTTGTTTGAGATGGAGTCTTGCTCTGTCACCCAGGCTGGAGTGCAGTGGCATGATCTCGGCTCACTGCAACCTCCACCTTCTGGGCTCAAGTAATTCTTGTGCCTCAGTCTCCTGAGTAGCTGGGACTACAGGAGCATGCCACCACACCTGGCTAATTTGTGTCTTTTCAGTAGAGACTGGGTTTCACTATATTGGCCAGGCTGGTCTCTCGAGTTGCATCTCAAGTTGCATCTCTTATGTGGAAATAAATCCTTAACCTCTTCCCCATCAGAATAATTCCCATAAACCCTGAAGACTCAGCTCGGAGCTATCTCCTCCAGGAAGTCTCCCCTCCCTTCTGCATTTGGGCTAGGAGACCCTGCTGAGTGCTCTGATGGCCACTTCTACATACCTCTGTCTTACATGAGTGACATGAGGGACATGAGGAACAAAAATTTGACACTGAGGCCAGGCATGGTGGCTCATGCCTGTAATCCCAGCACTTTGGGACTTCCACTACAGAATGCTTTCTGACATCAAGCTGAATTTTATCTCTTTATCACTTCCATCCACTAGTCCCAGTTCTACCTGTGCCTGGTAGGGGTGGTGTGGCAGAGGGAGTGTCATACAGACAAGCCCAGCATCTCTCTTCCACAGGATAATGCTTCAGTATTTAAGCACTGGCATCCCTTCTGTCGTACTTCATATAACGGATTGGGAGACAGTGGCCCCATGAATGCTGTGTTTGTGTGTTTACTATCCAGAGTACTTCTGGATTCACGATTTCCAAACTCTAATTGTATCTGCCTTCAACCGTGGGTAAACAAAAGGAAGCTGTACGTGGGTGATTAAAACTGTGTGTGTCTTTGCAGCCACTTAACTGTGGGAACATCATATGGATATGGAGTCAACTAATCTTTGACCTCAGCAGCTTTTCTGCCTTGTCAGAAAGATAAGGGACAATCCTTGTTCCCAAATCTTCTTCTAACTTCTTGCCCACACCACCCACTCTACTTTTGTAACTAGGTACTGATGTTGCCAGTACATTCTCTTCCTTCCTTCCTTCAACTAACATTTATGAAGTACACAGACAGTTCCAGGCCCTGTGGGTATCTCCCCTCAGTGGCTCACAGTCTACAGGGAGACACGTACAGGGACAGAGGCTTAGAGATGGTGCCAAATGCCATTTGTAGACAGGAGCCATTCCACCACAGCACAGTGATATTTGCCCTGATCGGTGTATTCCACATTTAGAACACGGAGCTGAAATAAGTATTGGGAAACCTTCTCAGTGTGAATTTTTTGGATGCTTTGTTTTGTTTTGTTTGAGATGGAGTCTTGTTCTGTCACCCGGGCTGGAGTGCAGTGGCGTGATCTTGACTCACTGCAACCTCCACCTTCTGTGCTCAAGTGATTCTTGTGTCTCAGCCTCCTGAGTAGCTACCGGAGCATGCCACCACACCTGACTAATTTGTGTCTTTTCAGTAGAGACTGGGTTTCACAAAGTTGGCCAGGCTGGTCTTGAACTTCCGATCTCAGGTGATCTTCCTGCCTTCCCCTCCCAAAGTGCTGGGATTACAGGCATGAGCCACCATGCCTGGCCGCAGTGTAAAATTTTTGTTCTTCGTGTCCCTCATCTCACCCATGTCAGACAGAGAGGTATGTAGAAGTGGCCATCAGAGCACACAGCAGGGTCTCCTAGCCCAAATACAGGAATGAAGGGAGACTTCCTGGAGGAGATAGCTCCGAGCTGAGTCTTCAGGGTTTATGGGAATTATTCTGATGGAGAAGAGGTTAAGGATTTATTTCCACACAAAAGATGCAACTTGACCAAAGACTTTGAAAGTGAGAGGGAACATGGACTCTTGAGGGCCAGTAATTCAGTGTGGCTGAAGCTTAAATTCAAGATAGAAAGTCGAAAGAGAAGATGCTGGAAAGACACAGATGTACCAGATGATAAAGGACCTTGCATGTCACACTATGGCCGTTTAGATCCAAGGGCGTTTAGATAAGAGTTGTGATGACTCAGGTTTTCAACTTGGGTCACTGGTGGGCAGTGGGTACACGAGGGGCAATGTAGAAGGAATAGCTTTGGATAACAATGGTAGGTTTATGTTTTGACATAATGAGTGCGGACATGTCTTAGAGACAGTTGGATATATGGGTCTGGAGACCAGAAGAGAAACTGGTCAAGATAATGAATTTGGGAGTTGTGAACACACAGGTTGTATCCACAGGCAGGGATGAGTCCACCACAGGAGAGAGTATAGAATGAAAAAAGAGCATAGCTGAGCATAAAATCCAGATAAATTGTTTTCTTTAAAGAATAAATCAGCAGAGGAGAAAATCTTGTGTCATGGTGCCAAGGAAAAAAGAAGTTCCAAGAAGACAGATTGGGTCAGCAATTGCAAATACCACAGACAGGAATAATTAAGGCATGAATTCATGAACACGGGGATCATTACTATCACCAAAAATGTTGCAGAGAATAATGACAGTGACCACGTTTGAGCGTCATCTTGGTGTGTCGGGTACTCGGCATGTTATCTATGGCACCACATTTAAATTGCACATTAACAATTTACACATCAGGTAACCAGGCCTTGAGCAGATTAAGTGGCTCATTCAGAACTGTTTGGCTGCCCAGTGACTGTCAGACCTAGATGACTTCACCATCTCTCCATCACTCTGTCCTAAGAGAATGCAAACTATGAGAGAGAAGATACGTGACACAGCAGAACTCTGCCTAGGGGGTGTCTTACTTTGAACTCCTGTGCTCTATTACCGGTTGACAAGGTGGATTATATTTGACTGTAATAATAAATTCTCTGACTCTTGTACATTAACACCTTACGAATAAGTAGGATGTATGCCAATGGAATTTACAGTATCCCTACCACCAGCAGAGAGATCGCAAATATTTCCTAACTGGTAAGGCCTGGACAGCAACCAATCCCAAACATTGCCTCTCTCCTGGAGTCAGGTCCTAGAGGCCCCCTGCTGTGCCACGTGGTACCCTTTAGTCGCTGGGTGGTGGGAATTTATGGGAAAATGGGAAATGAACACAGAGCAGCACTGAACCAGCGTGGAAGGCATTTCAATGTTTTAACAACCAGTATGGCCATCCCGTGCATATTAAGTCAATGTTAACCTGTCTATCATTCATCATGTGGTGCTTACATAGACAGAACAAATGTGGGAGAAGGCCGTTTTATGTTTTATTTTTACAACTTACCCAAAATGGGAGGAATGCTATTTGTTTTTAAAGCAGAGATGAATTTCAAGTCACACTTACCTGGTAAAGTGACGGCTATCCTCAGTGGGTTAGAGATGGCAGAAGCCCTTGGGGGGCGGCTGCTGTGTAGGGAATTTCTGTCATAAACTTCCACTTTACACTGATACACTCCTGTCTCTTCCTCAGTGGCATCACGGATTAGGAGTTGTGAACGAAATAAAGACTGTGAAACTTTCGTCTTCTTATGGAACCGGGATGGGAAATCCCCCCATTCAATAGTGCCATTGTGGGTGATTCGAATAAGCCAGTGGAAGTTGTGAGAGCTAGCTGGCCGGAACTGCCACGTCACAGTGAGTGGCACCTTGAGGTCAGCGTAACCGGCCCTCACTACGCAGGTCAGGTCGAAGGTGTTGGTTAACATCACTTGCGGCTGACGGCTCACCAGACTAACTTGTAAACTTGACTCTAGACGAAAAAGCGAAACACAACTTCTAATAGATTTACCAGATTAAAATACAGCACTTTGAAGTCTTCTAGTTGCCAACTCTTCGAGTAGGACCCTGCATTTGTACATTTGGAGTTTCATATTTTATAAAGCAGAAGTTGATTCACAGTACAGTCTGTCCTGAACTCTGACCTCAGTTTTGCAAAATTGACCCTCTCCTAAGACTGTTCCCAGCAGCCACAACAAATAGGCAGTGTTTCTCCAGTCTGCTACTTAGACAGCTGCTGCTACTGAGTGGGTGGAGCACACCCCACCCCAGCGGTCTGGCCTCCTTCCCTTACCCCGTGCATGGGTTCAGCATCAGAACCCTTTTGCACATGCTCCAGTGGGCTCCAAGGCCGCAGCTGTCAAAAACCAGAAGGTATAAGGCTCAGCTCTACTCATCTATAAGCTGATTCATAGAATTTTGTTTTTCACCTCCAACAACAATTTACAACTTACACTCTGAAGGTGATCTTTACAAAGATGAAGAAACTTAAAAAATTGACAGAGAGGGTAGCCGGAGACTATGCCCCGTGTCCTAGGGTACACATACTATAACTGGGGGATTCAGGATAACACGCAATCTAATTCCACTGCAGAATGAATCGACTGATACACAGGTGCAGGAAAGGATTTTCTTTGACACTTACCCAGAGACTTGACAGTAACTGAAATCTTCTGAGCCCAGCTCCGATCTCTGGCCTGGTTCCGAGACTTTTCAGATACTCTACATTCATAAGTGCCACTGTCTGTGATGGCAGGGAAGGTGATCTCCAGCTGGAAGGTGGCCCAGTCTACTTTCTCCAGCCTTGTGTTGCCATGGTAACTGGGTCCCCCATAGGAGGCGCCCAGCTGCACGATGCCATCCTGCCCCATGCCAGCCACGAACTCGGGCTGTGTCTGGTCCTGTGGGATGTGCCACCAGCTCACAGACAGGGAACTTTCAGCTCCACTGGCCTTGCAGAGAAGGGTGAGCGACTCTCCTTCCCATACAACTTGCTGCTTGTTCTTGGTAGACGTGACCACGCTTCTTGCTGTGGGTTACAGATTACAGAAGAAAAAACTGTTTTAGATAAATAAGAAATTTTCTAAAATACACTGAAATCTCATTAATTAGGACTTGCCTAGTTTGTGACAAGTCAAATCAGGCTGTTTCCTCTTGCACCACGCTCAGGTGAAAGATTTGCCAAACACTTGAATAGTGGAAACGAGATAGCAGAAAGAATATCGGAGAATGTATTTACCCTTAAACAATTTATTGATTTCTAAAGTTGGGTCTTGCTGTGCTGTGTGGGCTGGAACACAGCACTGTGATCTTAACTCATGACAACCTCACACTCCTTGGCTTAAGCCATCCTCCTGCCCCAGTAGCTGGGACTACAGGCACCCGCAACCACGCTGGCTAATTTTTAACATTTTTGTAGAGATAGGATCTCTCTTTGTTACCCAGGCTGCTATTGAACTTCTGGCCTCAAGCAATCCTCCTGCCTCAGCCTCTCAAAGGGCTGGGATTACAGGTGTGAGCCACTGCACTCAGCTTACTTGAACAATTTATCACTTGTACATATTTTTTTATTAGTTTGTTAAATCAACTCTTCCTTAAGAGTATCTAGTTGGGCAAACATCTGGGACCATTTTGTTATATTAATTAGGGTATATATAAGAACCTGAAAGTAATAAAGCTGTGTTTACTTCAATTTTTAGTTTTTTATAATTTGGACCTTCAGAGTTCAAAATGATCTTCCTCTTCCTTATCTTTCTTTAATCAATCTCATTGGTTTAGCATGGGTTTTGAACAAGGAAGAAACATTGCTAATTATATCTCTGTTCACAATACTACCATAAAAAACAATTACTTAGAAAAATACATGTGTATATATATATATAACACATATACATACACACACACACAAACACACACATTGTTGTAGACAGAGAGGCTTCTTATGTCTAAACGATAGTGCAAAACCATAAATGTAAATCTGGATCCCAGATGGGAAATCTAAGTCATCATTCAACAAACACATTCATTCAACAACCATTAATTCTGCAAGGTCTTGTCCTGGTTGCTTTGTGAGCAGTGTAGAGATACGGCAGGAGATTGTACATCCGAGACAGCCCAGCACTAATTTAAGGCCACGGCTCCTTTAGTCAGAATTGCCCTGGGCAACATATTTGACCTCTCTGAGCCTTAGTTTTCTTTCCTGTAAAAATGAAGATAATAATAGTGCCCACCTTGCTGCATTGTTGAGAAGACTGAGCAAATAGCACACGCACAGCGCTTAGCCTGCATGGCTAGGGAAAGTACTTAGAAAAGGTTAGCTGCGAGCCTTAGTGTTTAATGATCGGCACTGGCAAAAGCAGAGGCAATTCAAAGCAAAAGAGAAAAATAAAATAGAACTGGCATTAGAAATCTAAATAGGATCTAAATGAATTTGCAAATTGTTCTTCCCTGCGGAGGAAGGAGTTCGGTCTTTGACTGTTTTATGCATACATATACATAAGTAACAAAGGCAGCATGAAGGTTAACGTCCATAAATATGTTTTTAAAAAGAGAAAATCTGCTTTCAAATTTAATTTTTTTTTTCAAGTTAAAAATAGACTCATAACTGAAGTTTAGAAATTGGAGGAGAAATTTTTACTCATATTCTCACCACTTTAACTTAACCATGATGATTAGTTTAAACTAACCTCATTTTAAAAAACGGGGTTTCCTTAGTTCATTGCCTTTTGGTAAGACGTAATAAACTTATGAAATGTGTGTAAGTTACACATTCACAGTGGTGATAGGTGATTAAAATATTCATAAATAATAAAATGTTAATACTTCAAGTAATGTTTGACTTTGAAAGCAGAATGCTAAACAGCATTTATAAATATGCTAATAACTTTTCCTAGGTCTACATAGTAAGCCCAGTGTAGACTCTAGCCTGTACAAAGAACTATTTTTCATTTTGGAAGATGACCTTATTGATAGGATGATCAGCTGTGTACCCCAAAGTACACCTTTGGGTGAAATTCCCACATACCAGGTTTACAAAAGCCTGCAGATATGTTCTAGAGAAGACTGAGAGGCATAAAGCAGAGATTTACCTCTGCATAAATATTTAAACCTACCTATATTGTTTTTCCTTAACTCTAGAAAGGCCGACCAAGTGTTTAGTGTGAAAGCGAACACCAACACACTTCCTGGGCTGCCAGTCAAGGCCGAGGCTGTGCGTCTTCATTCCTAGTAAGTGGCTTATTGGAGAAATGGAAAGGGCATGTCTCTGTCTTTGGAGCTACCTCCAACAAGTCAGTGCGACAAGGACATCTTTATTTTTAGCTCAGTTTTAAAAAAAAATTAAAATATTAAATTTTGTTGTTGTTGCTGCTTTTGGGCAATCAGTCTTTCTGGACTTTGAATTTAAACCCAGCCTAGTGAGTCCTTATATTATTGTAGATTTGTCTGTTTTTCTCCACACAAAAGGCATTGATTATTCAAACATGTTTAAGGTCACCCAACCTTCATGAAGTAAAGGTGAGCTGAGTGGCTTCCTCAGTTCTGTACATGCAGACACTCAGAACCATTAAGATTGGAGTCTCAGTCATCACAGCAAAATGCAGAGGATGGAGTCTGCCCACTACCAATTACCTTTTCGTTTCTTAACTGTGAGTCAGAATTGTGACTAAGTAGTATTTCCCATACCAGGTTAACACAGTAGGGGATTAACAGAAGGCAATTGAAAAATGCAGGCCGAGTCTCGAGGTAGGGTAACATGGGTGTTCATTCCCTAGGAAGGAGGACAAAGCGTAACTTTTTACTCTTAACCTATGTCTTTCTCTCTCTCTCTTTCTTGCTCTTGCTCTCTGTCTCTCTCTCTCTCTCTCTCTCTCTCTCTCTTCTCTCTCTCTCTCTCTCTCTCTCTCTCTCACACACACACACACACACACACACACGAAGGCAGAGGGCTTCATTAATACAGATGATCTCTGCTTTAAGAAATATCTAATATATAAAAATTAGAACAAAAAATAAATAGACTCTAAGACAGCAAGAAGGAACTTAAAGACCATCTAGATGTGTGCCATCATTTTACAGATGAGGGAGCTGAGACTTAGAGACATTAAGTGGTGTGTTCGTGGTCACAGCTCGCCTAATGACTCAGAATAGGACTCGGGTCTCCAGCTAGTTTGGGTGCCTTCCTTCACTCCACTCCGCTCCACCTCCAATGTGATCTGATTGAAACCTGCTCTTCACAAAGATCCCTACTGTATCCACGAAGGCGTCTTCTACGGACAAGAGGGGATATGAAGGCAGCCCAATGCATGCCTGGCCTTGACTTCACATACCTGCTGGCTTCTTCAGGTGCACGTGGCTGTCTGGTGACTGCTTTCTCTGAAGCACCTGCCAGGAACCTGTGCGTGTTCTCATGACCTCTGCTACCGCACATCTGTAGGTGCCTTCATCCTCTGGGCCCAGAGAGAAGATCTTGAGAGAGAAAGCCTTGGGGCCTAACTTTGAAACCTGGAGCTGTCCTTGACTTGCTCTTCCTTTATAGTCATTCTTCAGGCCCAGGACTCCACCAGCATCAATGTGAGCAATTTCAGTCCCATTGAAGAACCACATGCCTTGAAGCTGTGGGTCACGGCCACTGCCTACAACCAGGCAAACCAGTTCTAAGGGTTTCCCTTCAGCAAACAAGCTGTCAGCTGTAATGTTGACTTGAAAATCTTTCACTGGGAAACAAAAACAAGGCGGGTATTTAGAGAGTCCACTGTCTCTGTCCTTTCAGTGCCAGAGAGAGATGACACCCCCTGTAAGGATACTACAGGAATCACATTTTTTGTGGGAGCTCAGTTCTATAGTGGTAGGTAAACAAAACAAAACAAAAAATCCTTACCTCATGACTCTTCCTTAAATCACCCAGAAACGACAGTACCCATGGTTTTCTGAATGCACTCCTAGTAAGCGAGATGTATGCACAAATGTCTGAGGTATATAGTAATGTATGCTTTTTAAATTAAAAAATAAAATATTGGAATCGGGCGCAGTGGCTCACGCTTGAAATCACTTTGGGAGGCTGAGGTGGGTGGATAGCCTGAGGTCAGGAGTTCGAGACCAGCCTAGCTGACATAGTGAAACCCTGTCTCTACTAAAAATACAAAAAATTAGCTGAGTGTGGTGACGCGTGACTGTAATCCCAGCTACTCAGGAGGCGAGGAAAACCCCGTCTCCAAAAAACAAAATAAAATAAAACAAAATACTGTATACTGAATGAAGTACTGTATATATTAAATTAAATATTTTACATGGAATTGCTGTAAATTATGATTTCTTACTCTCTTTTTATGCTAAAGAATATCCAGTAGAATTGCCTCAAGTTAGAAAACACTGTGATATGGCTCCATAGGACGCATGAATGTAACTTAGATACTTGAAGCCAACGGGATAACTTCAAGTGGAACACAGTATCACTCTTTTTAATAAAGAAAAAACTTTAATGATTCACCATTGGATCATTGCTGTTAGCAATGGGTATACAGTACCATTTAGCAATGGCTTGGCAACCCCTTCCTGTTGGACAAACGCCTATAGAGAGAGACCAGGAATCACAGACAAGGCCTTTCTACTTGTTTTGACAAAAATGCCAAAGGATTATGAAAAGTGACAGCAGGCTGGGTGTGGCGGCTCATGCCTGAAATCCCAGCCCTTTGGGAGGCCGAGGCGGGAAGATTGCTCGAGCCCAGGAGTTCAAGGCCAGCCTGGGCAACATAATAAGATCCTGTCTCTTAAAATTTTTTTTAAATCAAAAAATAATTAAAAAAAGGAAGGTGACTGCATTTCAAATTGGGAAAGGGGACAGGTGGAAGGAAATCCCATCACTGATAAAGACAAGGCTTCATGTTGGAAACTGGAGCTCCTTGGAGGCCCAGCAGCCTGTGGTGAGTGGGCTTTGGAGAGAGACAGGCCTCTCTTTGAATGCCAGCCCTGCTCTCACCAGCTGGGTGGGCTTAGGCAGCACATCTAGCATGTCTGAGGCGCAGAGTCCTCATTTGTAAAATGGGGACTCAACTTTTTGCCTCACAGGGTGGTTGTCAGCTCATGTGCCAACACAGAGCCTGCAAAAATGATAGCAAAACTACTTCCACGACTGGCTTGCAGAATTGATCTAACCATGGAGTAGACCTTATCTCGTAAAGAATCTGTGGGCAGAGCCAAAACTGAGTATCCTCCCTCTTCGGTATGCTTCTCAGATGACAAAAATGCGAAATCAAATCAAACTTTCTAGCCATTTTTTTTTAGAGCCAACAAAAGATTAGAACAAAAATTAAAAGGTATTTCATAAATCCCCACCACCTAATACTAGTGTATCAGTGAATTTCCTAGGAAGATGATTACCTGCTGGCTGGATCGTCAGAGTGGTTTGATCTGTCTGCTTTTTTGTGATCGACATCCAGGTTTCATCTGGATCCTGAATCCATTCTGTTGCCTCACAGAACAGCTGGCCCTGATCCGAGGGCCGGAGCCTCTCTATGGACATTCTGAACATAGAGGACCCCAGCTTGTTGAGCCGTACGTCACTGGCTGCAAACCTCTCTGTATACAAGGGTCCAGGGACCAATATAAAATCTCTGGAGAGAGAAATAATCTCCGTGGCTTGGCTTCCTCCTCCATCCTGCATCAGGTACCAGGTGACAGAGAGGTGTGTATGTTGGGTTGTGGCTTTGGATGCCTCACATGTAAGGGTTAATGGCTCACCTTCTTCTTTACTGAGAGTCTGAGAACTCATGGTGGCAGAGAGGGTATCTGGAATAACTGGAAACAAAGGAATGATAATAAAATGGCCTGCCCAGTGCTTGTCCAGTGGGCCTCCTTAGGTGAAAATGGCACCCTGAGCTGCCTTATGTAAAGCACACAGACTTTGAGTTGATTTCCGCCGCTCCATATGCTTTCCCATCCATATGCTTTCTCTACTGCCGACGGGAACATTGGCATCTACGTACAGCCTACGGAACTTGGCAAAGCAAATGTCTCACCGATGTGTTGACCCTCACTTTGCTTCATTAGCATAAGCTGTAACCAATTTAGCTCCTCAGACACAGAGCATGCATTTGAAGGGAGAAAGCACTGGGACGGAGAAACCTTAGATTCTGATCCCAAATCCATCCCTACTACTATGGACTTGGGGATGTCACTTCACCTCCCTTGGCCTTAACCTGTTCCTCTGTAAGGCTCTGTAATAATCTGTTAAAATGTAGCAGTTAGAGCGCGAAAGCAATCTTTGCTAAAGTGTCGGTAACTATCTTATTACCCTGCCATTCTTGTTTTCCTAGAATGAAATCACATTTCTAAGCTTATGTAGAAGCAACACTTGGATTTCATCGATGAATGTGACAGAGCATCTGCTCAGTGCTAGCCACTGAGTGGAAGCTGAGGATGTGGTGGGAGAGAGGCATACACATAGCCAATTACCGTATAACTGGATGCATGCTGCTAGCAGTGGTAGGAACAGACAATCGAAAGGAAACAAAAGAGAGAATTCTGCCCAAGCAGTCAAGATGAGTTCCACAGAAGAGGTAATATCTAAACTGGGTCCTGAAGTCTATGTAGGAATTTGCTAAGCTGAAAAGGGGGTGATAGATATTCCAGACAAAGGGACACAATGACAATTGCAAGAACTGTGATCCTTTCCCAATATGTAAATATGCTAGAGAATGGTAATTTGAGAATAATCATTTCTAAGTTAATGACTTCTCACCTAAGATACCAGTTCTCTTGTCAAATTACTGTTCTCCCTCCAAGCAGAGACAGCACCAGGAGAACTCTCATAGCTTTGTTGAATGCTGTTGCTATTAGCAACAGCTGTGGACAGCTGTGGACAAGGCCCTGGGAAAACCACTCGCCATCTAAATCTTTATGGCAAAGATAACTGAGAAAAAGAAACAGATGATTTTAGAGAATATGAGATACCCGCTTGTGATATATCTCCAAAATAGCCACAGGGGTACACGGGCTCTTTTCTCAAAGAAAATGGAACAATGTAAAGTCATGTCATATTGCAAGACATTGTGATGACAGAGGCTCTGGCTTCTCAGGGGCTGGCTAGCAGAAGTGGACAAGCAGCTTACCAATTAGATTAGTCTTTGCACTGTAACTCCCGTAGTATTTCTCATCAGTGTTCGGTGTGTGACACTCATACTCGCCAGCATCCTTCATCTGGAGCTTTGAGATGTGCAACAAGACTGAGTTGCCCTGGACCCTCTCCACGTAGATGTCGCCACTTCGCACGCGCTGCGTATATAGTGCGTAAGAGAAGCCAGTATCCTTGGTGCTAATGATCTGGACTTCCTGGGTCGGGTTTGTCGGCAGGTAAACAGACCACTGGAAATGCTGCTCATAAGGTCCCTGGTGGCCAGTCACATTGCAGCCAATGCTGACTGGGTAACCTTCAGCTCTAAACAGTGGTCCTTTCTGAACTGTTACTTCTCTCTGGCCAAGGCTGAGCTCAGCTTGCAAGTAGGAGAAAGAAAGGGGAATAAAAAGAGATTAGTGCTCCAGTTCCCAGTGTACCACATTATGCATTTCCCTGTATTACAATTCTGGTAAATGAGATCGCAGGTTATTAGCTATAATCAACTCAAATGTTCAACATCTTCTTCAGGCTGAGCTGCAGTGAAGTCGCTTGATGAGTTAATTGTTCTTTTATAACTTTAACTTCCATAGTAATCTTCAGTCCCTTTAAAAAAAAAAAAAGTTTTGGCCAGGCGCAGTGACTCATGCCTGTAATCCAAGCACTTTGGGAGGCCGAGGTGGGCAGATCACAAGGTCAAGAGATTGAGACCATCCTGGCCAACCTGGTGAAACCCCGTCTCTACTAAAAAAATACAAAAATTTGCTGGGTATGGTGGCGCGTGCCTGGGGTCCCAGCTACTCGGGAGGCTGAGGCAGGAGAACTGCTTGAACCCAGGAGGTGGAGGTTGCAGTGAGCCGAGATCGCGCCACTGCATTCCAGCCTGGTGCCTGGTGACAGAGAGAGACTCTGTCTCACAAAAAAAAAGTTTTGACTTCATCAATGCAACATGACCACTTCCATAAAACATCTGCTTATCGACGGGTACTTATTTTAAAGCAAATAAATGTATGATAATGCACCCTTTACATTATTTTACGGGAAAATTTGGCATATACCTCCTCAAGCCTTGATGGTGCCTGTCATCCGGCAGTTTCCAGAGAAGTAGTTGCTGGAGCTGCAAAGTCTAGGGCTCTGCCCTTGGTGCCACAATTTTTCTAGCTGGTTGGTTGGAACTGTCTGCAGCTCCTGGCCAGATCTGTTGCAAAACTAGCCAAAATTAGCATCTGAAGAGGCAGCAGCACTTCCTTCTATTCTGCGGAGGGTTTTTTGGTTTTGTTTTGTCATTTCTTAAAGAGCCACTATAGCTTTACTGAAAAACCTCCTAATAGATGGCTGTAAAATCCAGCAGGTGCTGGGATTGGAATTTACTTTAGCTTTTTTCTGACCAAAAGTTTTCCGTTGGGCCAACTAGGGAATGTTTTCTATTAGAACTAATCTCAAGTATTGGGGCTAAAGGAAAAAAAAAACATGATTAATGGGAATATTTCATTTGACAAATTTTTTAAATCAAGTGTTTTTCAGAAATCAAAACGCGTATCTTTACTTACTATGAATGATATTAAAGGCTAGTTCATTTTGTGTTACAGAAAGAACAAAGATAAATGACAGACACGCCACAAAGGTGGCCAGTTATTTCACTAGTGGCCAGGGTACAGTGAAAGGGAAGACAGGGTTGGAAGACGAAGGGCCAGAGAGGGAGAGACTGCTGGCCTTGCGGAGTTAACCGAACAGAGTTCATAAGAAGATGTGGAAGAAGCTGCATTTTGTGACTCCACAGGGACAACAGTAACAGAGACTATGAGGAAGGAGACCCTTAATCACCTTCAGCCTTCTACCTTGCATCTCAAAAGGAGAAGTTAGAAGTTAGCCAGAGGAGGGACCAGTGGGTGCCATCAGCCGGGTTAAGGATAAGATCCCTGCTGCTAACCACAATCCCATTTATAGATCATGGATATGATACAGAGGAATCTTTCAGAAGGCCGCTGTTTTTACTCAAACAGGATCAAACCCCCACCCCACACCTACCTCATGGATCAACACCCTAGAGTAGTAAGCCCAAGACCCTTTCACACGTAATTTTTAGAGTTGTAAGCCTTTAAAAGGGCAGCGACTTTCTTTGTTAGAGGAGCTCGGCTGTTAGGCAACTATGCCGCCTTGCTCTGGGCCGAATACATCGCCCCTTCCTTCCCAGTTTGGTGTTCGAGAGATTTGTCGTGCGCTCTTCCTGCTTTAACTAGAGTGGAAAAGAAACGTGAGGGAAGCGGCCGTAACAGAGAACACGATAAGGCTGAGTAAAAGAATCTGGGAGGAAATGAAAATAGTTCTGAGGGATAGAAGGGAACTACAAAAAAGGGCAAAAGGGCAGAAAAGGTAAGTGGTCACCTGATGCAGTCAGGTGCATGGATTGCATGTATACATATACGTGCTCAATCTAAAACTGGGAAACCGGCAACCCCCACCAACCAGTAAGCCAACCACACACATTTCTAGTGATATATATATATATATATATATATATATGTAATATTGAATGCTGTTGTAATACATAGATATTACTCTCCCTATGTATCTATATATAATTAGTAATTACTAGATATTACAAATTATAATATATAGAGTAATATATTGAATGCTGTTGTAATATATATATATTACTCTGTATATCTATATATATTTTATAATCAGTAATTACTATATATTACTAATTATAATATACAGAGAGTAATATATATATTATATTGAATGCTGTTGCTATTAGCAACCTATTATGTACATCTATATATTACTAATTATATACGATCTAGTTATATATTACTCTCTATATGTATATATCATATATATATATGATATATATATATATAGAAAGAGAGAGAGAGAGAGAAAGAGAGAGAGAGAGAGAGAGAGATGGTCTTCCTCTGTCACCCAGGCTGGAGTGCTATGGTGCAATCTTGGCTCGCTGCAACCTTTGCCTCCCAGGTTCAAGTGATTCTCCTATGCCAGCCTCCCGGGTAGCTGGGATTACAGGCATGGGCCACCACGCCCAGTTAGGTTTTGTATTCTTAGTGGAGATGGGGTTTCAGCATGTTGGCCAGGTTGGTCTCGAATGCCTGACCTCACGTGATCTGCCTGCCTCAGCTTCCCAAGGTGCTGGGATTACAGGTGTGAGCCACTGCACCCAGCCTCTATAATAATTTAGAATACACTAATTTACTCATATGTCCGAATTAATATGACATACTTATATCATTCTCTTTTTGTAATAAGAATCTAGGAATAGAAGTTAGACCACCTTGGAAAAATTTAAATTGTTACTTGCCAACAAGTTATACTACAGTGGCAGTTTAAAACACTTTTCAGCAATGCCATCTTAGAGAAATGTGTGCACCAGGCTATGTGTGAAAGAATATGCCAGCTACACTGCTCATTAAAGCCCTACACAAGAGACAACCCATATGTCCATCAACAGTAGACTGGATAAACTGTGGTACGGTCATTAAGTAGAATGTTATATAGAAATAAAAATCAACAATTACAACTATTTGCAATAACATGAATGACTATGTCCAATGAAAGATACAAAAACACTTCTAAATCCTTTTGACTATATACAGAATGAGCCTACTATTTATTAAGTTTAAAAACAGGTAAAACCACACTGTATTGTTTAGTGATGCACACATAAGGGGTATAATCATTAGCAAAAATCGAGGAGATGATGAGGGAAGATGGCTCATGCCTGTAATCCCAGAACTTTGGGAGGCTGAGGTGGGCAGATCACTTGAGACCAGGAGTTCAAGACCAGCCTGGCCAACATGGAGAAACCCTGTCTCTCCTAAAAATACAAACTTAGCCAGGCGTGGTGGCAGGAGCCTGTAATCCCGGCTATTCTGGAGACTGAGGCAAGAGAATCACTTGAACCTGGGAGGCAGAGGTTGCAGTGAGCTGAGATTGCATCATTGCACTCCAGCCTGGGCAACTCTATCTCAAAAAAAAAAAAAAAAAAGTAAGCTAGGAAGTGGTTATAATGAGAGTCAAGAAAGTGATTGCATGTGGGGAGCATTTGTGATTTGATGGGGAATATTGCAGGCTGGGTGGGTGCTTCTAGGGTCTTTTTTTTTTTTGAGATGGAGTTTCGCTCTTGTTACCCAGGCTGGAGTGCAATGGCGCTATCTCCGCTCACCGCGACCTCCGCCTCCTGGGTTCAGGCAATTCTCCTGCCTCAGCCTCCTGAGTAGCTGGGATTACAGGCACGCGCCACCATGCCCAGCTAATTTTTTGTATTTTTAGTAGAGACGGGGTTTCACCATGTTGACCAGGATGGTCTCGATCTCTTGACCTCGTGATCCACCCGCCTCGGCCTCCCAAAGTGCTGGGATTACGGGCGTAAGCCACCGAGCCTGGTCCGCTTCTAGGGTCGTGGCAATATTCTATTTCTTGTCCTGGGTAGAGATTCTGTAGATTTTATTTTTTACTTAATTGTTAAACTGAAATAACAACAAATAAAAATTTGTGTTTTATTAAGATTTTCTTATGTTGTATTTCACAATAAAAATGTTTTTTAATGTGATTTTTGAAGTACCACTAACCTACTTACTTATATCAAGTCATATTTCTAGAAACGACGTTATTTTTGGTGGCTAGGCAACACTTCTCCAACATTTCCCATCACTTTGCTGCAAGCTGGGTACCACATTTGAAAATTTTTATTGTGAAAACTAGCACTTCTTTTTCTACTGCTTTATTTGCCAATTCAATAAATATTTATTCAACAACTTACAGTATTTCTCATGCTTGAGGGACTAAGATATGAAGATGAATTTAGGCGAGTTTCTGACTGCTGGATTCTATAATCCAGTCAAGTGGGCAGTAGTCATCTCTCTACGGAAAACATATAATAAAAGTGCTTCAAAAAATGTGAAGAAAGGAGGGACTACATTTGAGAGGAGGGAAATAGGTTTATGGAGATGGCATAAGAGATGGTATTAGAAATGGATTTTGGAGAATTGCAAAGATATTGACAAGATAAGTGGGGAGGCAGGGCATTTTAGGTGGAGGAGATTTCATGGCAAGACTCTTCGAGAAGGAATCAAGACTTGTTCAAAAATAAGGAGTAATCAACTGGATCGGGGAGGGCTGCATGAAGATTAATAGAAAGAGGTAAAACTGGATAGTAACTTAGGGTCCAGAGCATAAAAGATTTGACTATCACATTTAAAAGTTTGAACTTGATTCATTAGGCCATGGGGAATCACCGAAAGTCTTTGAAAGGTCTTAGGAAAATGAACCTAACAGTTTGTGTGTAGGATGGTGGAAGTAAGAACTGGACCTCAGGTAATCACAGCCGTTCAGGACACAGCAGACAAAAGCAATAGGGATAAAAATAAAGGTACGATAAGTGAGCCGCTGTGGAGACAAAACCCGTAGCGTTTGCAGCGTTTGGGATGCTTGGGAGTAGTAGGGTTAAATGGCGAGACGAGCGTTAGGAAGAAGTAAAAGACATCACACCCACCTTCTGGAAAACACCTGGGAGGACTGTCCGCTTGCTTTCTCTTTTAACGGACAGAGGGTCAGCCACTTTTGAATAGTAGCTCACATTCTTGTTGGCTGATGAATATACAGCTTGGCACTGACATACTAACATTGGAATCACGCTTTCAAAACACAAAAAATTCCCTTATAGTATTGGCTTTCTTTAAAAATCACTGGAATTGTCAAATTTACCATGGTAGTAGTATTTGAATGAAAACTATTAGGTTGAACCATATGAAATGGCCCATACTTGATTATTTTTGATATCAAAAAAACAGCAATTTCAAATAATGCTACCTTCTCCAAAACCTAGCTCAGGAAGAGCCAACATAACAAGCAGCTTCTTTCTCTTTGCACATTCAAAAACCCTATATGCTTGGAGGCTGAGATAGCTTCCATCCATACTAAGTGGAATCTTTTTTATTTTTCATGAATGCAATCTCAATAACACAGACGGCCCTTCCCCCAAACCCTCCCCCGTTAACAGCCCTTATTTGTAGGGCAGCTAGTTACGGTTGGGGAGACAGATCAAGCAGACAAAGCTAACTGCTAAGTCCAAGAACTTCTTTACCCAGGACATTAACCTCATATCGCACCATTTTCTATCAGGATCCTTCAGTCCTTATATTTATTGAAAAAAAAAAAAAATTGGGACAAAGTATACATTCGCTAAGCAATGTAATTGACTAATTGATCATTATTTTAATAATTTCATTTCCCCACTATATTTATAAGGACAAATAGCAGACTTCCAAAGCTTTTTCAAGTAAATTCCTGGTTTATGTATTCTTCACATAAAAGCTGTGCTTCTACACAAAATTAGTGCTTCGGATGAGTCAGAATTTAGAAGACGTAAATCTATAACCCAGTTTAGGTAATTGTTTAAATGGGTTAAGGAAAAGCTTTCAGCTTCCCCTTTTTGAGCCTTGATCACTACTTTCCTTCCCCCAGGCCTTCTAGCCTGCTTACCAAAAAAAGAGAATTTGCAATTCTATGAATTATTGCACAGTGTAAACCCAGTTTCCTCCTATATATGTGGCGAACATACAGTTCAAATACCCAAAGCACATACACTTGAGAGTCACACTCAGACAACTTAACTGAACCACAGAAACACACCAGTCCCCAAGGATACCACCAATACACCTATTAATCAACACCTGCCAACCCAGTCTGGCAGGCATCCATCACCCAGAAGGTGGTCCTAGTAACTTCTCCTGTAGGCTCCAGGTCTGACTCCTACCTCACACTATCATATGTTCCTAGAGACATGAGTGCAATTCAACTTAACGAATGGTTATTAAGCAATCTCTTTGTGCTGAACACCGTATTCTTTCCTTTTAATTCTTTAGCCATAGTCCCAGTCACACCAAGTACAGCTTGGTTTAGTTTCCCAGTTTTCCCAGACATTCGGGTTTCTGCAGTAACTCCATCCAGTCTCTCTAAAGCAAGAGTCATCGCTTTTTTTTTTTTTTTTTTTTTTTTTTTTTAATGGAATCTCACTCTGTCGTGGAGGCTGAAGTGCAGTGACTCAGTCTTGGCTCACTGCAACCTCCACCTCCCAAGTTCAAGCAATTCTCCTACCTCAGCCTCCCAAGTAGCTAGGGCCACAGGTGTATGTCACCATGCCCAGCTACAAAGCAAGAGTTCTTAACCTGGGTTCACATGTAGGGTTAAGTGGCCCATAAACTAGGGTGAAAATAATCCTACATCTTTATTTGCATTTTTACCTCTAATGGAAATTTAGCATTTCTTCAGTTATGAATGTAGACAATAAACCACAGATATTTTCATATCACAGCTACTGAATATATATTGAAATGTTATTTATACTCATCATTACTTTGAAATTTGGTGGTTAATAGATCTACCTCTAGATCTGGTTATATAATGCATAGATAAGAAGCAAACTACTGCATTACAATTTATTTAAAATATTTTGATACCTGCATTTCTATATGATCCATTTCCTCTATAATCCTCTGCATTTTATTTTATGCATTTCAAACATTATTCTGAGACGGGGTCTATTTGGTTTACCAGATGTTAATGGAAACTGTACCATAAAAAGTACCTGCTACCTGGTTTGAAAGTATTCCATTACCTGCTCAACTCATCTGATCCTCCCTTCTACCTCCAAATTTCCTCCTCTTCCATCCTATTCTAACATAGATAAATGCCTCTAGATCAGGCAAGTCCTTCTGCATGGCCCTCAGCAAAGCCAAGAGAATCTTTCTGCATTTCTAGGTCTCTCTGTAGTCAATTTCCACTTCCACTCACAGGTGAAATCCAGAATCTTCTTTTAGCTTAGTCTAAACTACTAAGTACTTTCATAACCTTTCTTTCCATCCAGTCATATCTGCAGGGCATATTTATCCCGTCAAACCTTAATATCAGCAAACCTTGAGGTCTCCTTTCAGTTTGGGGCACAAAGGTTTTTTACTGTCTCTTGGGACAATCAGCCCAGGAAGATGAGTAAAGCCAGGGCCAAGCAAAACTGGCAGAGCTGGCAACACACACAAATGTAAAAAACACTGGAATCACGTGCACGGGACTCAACCGAGCATTGCGCCTCCCTGGAACTCCAGGATGTCTAGACAAGCCAAGAACTGTCATCAGTAAGTCAAAACTTATTGCTAACATCAGAAATAGATGGCATAGTTATTTTCGTAGTGACTAAACTGTCCTGTTCCATCACCCTGCACCCTGAGTTGACTACCTCCTGTGACAATATTAACATAAAGGATTATAAAACTTACTCAGAAAGAGAAAGAAAGATGTCACATATGAGATGCCTGCCATTCGGGCCAGCACAGTCCTTTCCTGTCCCAGCAGTGCCACTAACCTTCAGAGGTTGAGTGACAAATGCTGTGCTCTCACTGCAAAGTAAAGAGGAAGCAATAGTGTGGTTTCCAGCCCACCGAGAAGCAGAGACGGTTTGCAAAAAGCAAAACCGGTTACATTATGCAGCTCTTTGCTAATCACTCAAATTTGAGAGTAAAAAAGTTATCTTCATGGTTAAGTCAACAGATACAGATAAAACGAAGAAAAGATGGGCCTCAACCTGGCTCAGTATGTGTCATTTGGTAATGACGAGAGAATTTACGTAAACTAAATGAATAAAAAAGCAATCAGAAATGTTCTCTTTGTGGCCCTACTTCTCTGTTCTTGGGAAAGGAAATGAGTGAGAAATTGGAGAAGCCCCTGGAAAACGTGAACGTGGGGCAACACGAGGTGGTGGTGAAGGTTACAGGCTCTAGAGTCAGGTTGCTTGGGTTTGCATGTAGTTTCTAGTTTTAGTAGCTATGTAATCTTAGAAAACTTAATTAACCTTCCTAACCCTCACGGCTAAAATGAGGATACTAATAGTATGTGCCCCATACGATTACTGTGAAAGCCAAATGAGCTGATTTATTTAAAGTACTTAAAACAATATCTGGTACATAGTAAGTGCTCAATGAATATTAGCTACCATCATCACCATCGTGAGACATTTAAGTAAATCTTCATCTGCCCTGTGAAGCTACCTTTGCAAAAGTTGTAACAGTGAGAAAGTTATGACAGTGAAAGGGGTCTGAGCTAACCAACTCCATCTTGTTTCAAACCTCCAAGCTGCAGTTCATTCCTGGATGTAGGCCAAACTCACTTTGGGAGGAATTTAGCTTACAGTTTAATTTTGAAACAAGGAGAATAACTGCCCTTTCTGGAAACAAATCCCTTTCCTGCCTGGGAGCAGACTTCCTTAGTAAGACTAGCAAATTAGCCACAAGATTGGAAATCAAAGTTTAAGATTGTGCAGGCAGAAGCCACACAATTCCAACCTCCCCGATTGTTCCTAGGGATAACATCACTATCGTGAAACCTAACTTGGTGCTCAAGGTATTTTTCAGACCCTGCATTCTGATGCACCCGCTGGCACCACTCAGGGTGATCATCTGGCTCAGCCAGTTCTTTGATCCCACCCAGGAACAGAAGACTGCAAGAAGAACCCCCTTCTATCCCCTATGATTTCATCTCTGAAATGACCAATCAGCACTCCCCACTCCCTGACCTGCCATATTATCCTTAATAACTCCAGACTCTGAATTTTCAGGGAGACTGATTTGAGTAATAAAACTCTGGTTTCCCAGTTAGCTGGTTCTGTGTGAATTACTCTTTCTCTGTTGCAATTCTCCTATCTTGATAAATCAATTCTATCAGGGCAGCAGGCAAGGAGAACTCACTGGGTAGTTGCAATAATGGGCAGTTACGCCGATGTGAACCCAGATGCCAAGGGTGGCAGAGGAATGCCTAAATGCAACAGTTGGCCCTGAACCTAGGCTAATTTAATACTATGCTAGTGGTAGACTTCTCAGGAAGCTTCCACTTAAATCAGATAATCACAATGCAATGTGTCGACAATCAGTGGGGCACCTACGGGGGTGGTGAAAATTTGTGGGCAGGAGGGAAGGTCAGGACGGATTGGACTGGGCCAGGTGAGTCAATGAGTCATCTAGAGAGGCAGAGGGCCAAGGTACAGTTGGGGAGAAACTGTCTAGCATAAATTGTTATGTAACACACAGGCTGTACATAAACAGCCTGTAACACACAGGCTGTACTATCTTCTGGAATAAAGTTTGAGGCTGTTATATAAAAGAAGGATCTATACAGATAGGATGGGCAGATCTTAGTGGGCTTTGGGTGCAAAGCCTAAAAGCTTGGCTTTTATTAATACCTTGAAGAAGAGGGGAGCTCTTAAGATTTTGTTTATTTATTTATTTATTTATTTATTTTTGAGATCAAGTTTTGCTCTTGTTGCCCAGGCTGGAATGCAATGGTGCGATCTCTGCTTACTGCAACCTCCACCTCCTGGGTTCAAGCAATTCTCCTGTCTCAGCCTCCCAAGTAGCTGGGATTATAGGCATGTGTCATCATGCCTGGCTAATTTTGTATTTTTAATAGACACGGGGTTTCCCCATGTTAGTCAGGCTGGTCTCGAACTCCCAACGTCAGGTGATCCGCCTGCCTCAGCCTCCCAAAGTGCTGGGATTACAGGGCTGAGCCATTGCACCCGGCCTTCTATTAAGATTTTTAGTAGGAGTATAGCCTGGTTGGATTTTCCTTTTAAGTTGAATTCCTTATGTGTGCATTGCTAACAGGTTGAAAGGTGAAGGAGGGAGACAAGGCTAGAAGCAAGAAGGCCAGTGACAAGATTTTTGCAGTTGTCTCTATGAGCAATCATAAGGGCCTGAAGCAGGGCATTTAAAATAAAGACAAAGGCGGGATAGACAAAATAATCAAATAGTTCCTGAGTACTCCCGGTGCAGTAAGCACCCTACCAGGTGCTGGATTTCCATACATAATTAAGATACAGCCTGAAGGACCTGCTGTTTGTGCCATGTGGCATGGTGGAGGTGAGCAGGTAAGAACTCGACTGTCACATGAGAGATATCAGAGAAGGAAGTGGGCATGTCTAATCTGGAGAGAATGAATGGGAGGTCAGTAAAATCTTTAGAAGCAAGGTGGCATTTTAAAGTAAAATTTGTTTTCCTCATGAGAATTATAGTAGAATGGGGGAACATTCTACAAATTCAGGTCTGGAAGCATCTAACTCTGTCTGTCTGTCTAGCTACGTATCTATCTATGTATCTATTTATCTGTCTGTCTGTCTGTCAATCTGTCTGTCTGTCTATACATCTATCCCTCCTTTCACTCATCCATTCTTCTGGTTTTATGCATTAGCAATGATACTTAACAATTAGCCCCCCAGTGATGGTCAACCTACAAATATTAAAGTCTTAAGTGAAAGGTCCTGTACCTCCCTTTTCCAGGTACTATGCAAGGCTTGGGAGACAAAGAGTGTAAGAGGGCCCTGACCTCCAGGAACTCGGGATCTACTTTAATAAACAACTGAGATTAAAACCAACCAAACAAACAAAAACAGCAGCCATATATGGCAAACATCGGTCTGGTAGCTGATTTATTGCTCAGGCAAGAAATAACCGGAATTAATGGGCTGAAAAGGCAGGGAATAGTGGCAGGAGGTCATTCAGAAAAGGCTGGTTTTAAAGTCGGGCCTTGGACATCTAGTATGATGCAAATAGCCAGGGAGGAGAAGGAAGGACATTTCAGTCTGGATAAATACAATGTCCAGAGGCAGAGGCAGGGACATGCAGGTTGTATTTAAGGAACAATTAAAGGACAGTCTGCCTAGGATGGAGATTTCAAACCAACTCTCCAGGCTGCTAACTGTAAAATCAGTGAGGCTCAAATTACAGGAATTTATTCACCATTTCAGTTGGAGAAGTTGGGGGTCACCCCCAGGCACCAACACTTTAAGCAAATGTGGGGAATGGGTTAGTTACTACTGTGTAACAATCACAAACCTTCGGTGGCTTGCAACAGTAAACATTTATTTCTGTTGACAAGGGTGGCTCTGTTCCTGCGGCTGTGTTCTACTGACAGGAGCTGGATGGTCTAGGATGGCCTTGGCTCGGAAGACTCAGTTCTCTTCCGCATGTCTCTCACATCTCTCTGGCGGGCTGGACTGGCACATTTTCATGGTAATGTCAGGGGTGCAAAAGAACAAGTAGAAACACGACAGCATTTTTTAAAGCTTCTGCTTACATCGTGACCACCATGGGCCTACGCAAGCCACATGACCAAGTCCAAAAGCAAGAGACGGGTTAATATATATTCTGCCCCTTTATGGAGGGGAACTGCAAAGTGACCGAACAAAGGGAGAGATTGACACAAACAAACGGAGGCCATCAATGCAATCAGTCTGCCATGTGCACTGAAAAGAGAATTATTTTAGAAATAAGCATTGACCACAGAGACAACCATTGCCAATAACAGAGAATATCCTGTATCTATAAAATATATATAACCCAGAGAATGCTATGCAATTTCTCATTCCTGGCTGTTGCCAAAATATTTTTTTCTTTTTCCATTTTAGTGGCTTCATTTCTGCCAGAATTTAACATTGACAGGGTGCTGGTGCTTCTTTTCTGGAGGGAAACAAGCAGCTTTCTGTTGTCAAGAAAAAAAAAAAAAGAAAGAAAAGAAAAAATAGGGCCAGCAAGAGAGACAGTTATTCTATTACCTTGGGAATCATTGCAGTACAATTGTATCATTTGAAAGGAATGTAAAAATGTAATTCCTGAGTCAGATGGAGGGAGAGAGAGACAGTACTAGACAAAGAAACCAGGAATTACTAAAGGAAAAAAAAAAATCTGTTCTAGTTCCTGGAAGATTAATAAAGAGTTCTTTTTCTCAGGTTGATATGCTCCAGTATCAGTTCCACAGAGCCATAGAAATTGCAGGTGTTATGGCCTCTGATCATAAGCAGTCAGGCCCAATAAATATTTAAACAGGGACCTTTTACACATCAGGTTCTGTGCAAGGCACTTCACAGATACAGTTTTATAGAATACCTCAGGTCACTATGTGGCAGGTATTACTAATCCCATTTTACAGATGAGAAAACAGACTCGAGAGTATATCAATATCATATGGCTGGAAAATGGCTGGATTCTAGGGCTGCCTTCTCACTTTTGGTTCACAGCTCTTTCTAACAAGCCTAGCTAGCTGCTCATGATTTACAGGAGGCAGAGTAGAAGACAGTGAATAGCTGGAGGAGGGGAAAAACCCTAAGGGGTCAGCAGGAGGCTGATCATTATTTCATCGCTTTCCCCACTTGAGCTCTCTGAATTCAGGTCCAATTGATTCCTGCTTCACGGGGCCTGGACCTGCCCATGTCAGGGAGGCCCTGCCTGCAGTTAAGCCTCACCTCTGCATGTGTATAACACCAAGCAGTCACACTACAAGAAGGGAATCTTGGTGATGTCAGTCAACTCCCTCATACAACAAAGGAAGAAACGGAGACTTT